TGCCAGCCGTGGCCATCTTTATATCCCCGCGAAGGCCATCGACTGAGATCTGCAGCATTCCTTCCTTCCTCCGGGACCAATGGCACGATACGGACCTCTTCTTCGCGCCATCCCACTATTTTTTACGCTGTATGGAATACTAATCCTCAATCCAATCCAACTTCTTAGACGCAGGCAGGCATCTCCATGTAAGGAGCAGGGGGGATGCGGAGGAGAAAGAAGGTCCAACCGCATACTTCATATAGCATCTACGTCCATTTAGCTTAGCCTCTCGCCCAAAGCTTCTTAAAATGCCTACTTTCATGCTTGTTTTCTCCACCAAGAACAACAAAAGCGTCCAGCTAGCAACACGGCGCGCGGGCCTTGCTGTTGCGCACCAATGCCGTCTTCTCCAGTTTCTCCGGGGAATCTGTAAAAGCTCCATAGACCAGTGCAGATGAGGTCATTGCAGCGGCGGAGCAACAGGCACGATGCGGGGAGACGAGAGCTGTTGGGCAATTGCTGCCAAAAACTCCATAAAATGGGGGGGCCGATGTGACTCTATCTGGGTCGTGATCGGCAGATACAACTGCTAATGTTGTGGAGGAATCCGAGTAAATACCCGTCGGGAAGGTGTGATGAATATCACTTATTTTAAATTTGGAGAAACAAAGCTGTTTTGACAAAAGTTCAAGGCTAGAAATAAGGTGCTTGATGGAGGTTGTTTTTGAGTTGAGTGATGGTTATATGGCCCGCTGCTTATTTCCGTAGATGAGCACTCGTGGTTCACCAACGTGCAACTTTATCAAGGCTATAAGGCTTTTGAATGAATTGGGCCATAACAAATAACATGGGCGACATCTTTGTCTCTACAGTTTTAAAAAAAAATCCTTGCTAGTAATTGTTAATACAGCTTTTGTGCCCTGACGCTCACAAACGATGTCACGCGGGCTGGACGCAATACTACACAAAATCTGTGCTTTATGATCGCAACCATCTTCATGTAGCAGTGATCTACTAAGATCTATCACAGATCACTACCGGCCAAACTGGCTCAATCGCAGAATTTGTAGGTTCCTCCAAAGCGGTATATATACCAGCACCCTCACGCGACACCCTCCTTTACAGCAATTTTAAGCCCCTCCGATGCTCAGTCTTTCTCGGGCTGTGCGCGAGCACCGCGTACCTCATACTTAGCCACGCACCTTGCTTATCTGGAGATACCAAGTACGTGTACTAACCTTACTTTTACACAGCATTTTTAACTCACAACGATGCTCACATCTTTTTAACGCTATACGACTTGATGTTTAGGCTTCCTCTCAACGAAATTCCGTGAAGTTGATTCCTCTTCAATAACATTGTCAGTGGAATCGCCATTTGAGCTGGGTGTACTGCTTAAGCTATAATAGATTGTCACCTTTGATGAACAAACGTACTAGTAGTTTATAAAAAACCAACTTTATTAATGGCACAGAATGTGATTATCGTATAGCTAGTATCGTCTACCGTATAGCTAGTATTGTCTACAATCAACTCTTGAAAAAAAAAATATGAGCGGCATCGTCACTTCTACAGACATTGCTGCACTTGCAAACGACATCGCATCGCTCACAGTGTTTACAGTGCGGAGTACACTGGAAGCCAGATGGTGATATTATATAAAAAGGCGTACAGCTTCACAGCATTTTTGGGCCCTCCCGTGGCTCGATCATTCTCAATGGGCTCAGTGAAGGACTGTGTGACCCACCAACTCGGCATTTCACAGCATTCTTAAACACTCCCGAGGCTCACGCCCATTCAGCAGGAGGCCTAGAACTTTCGGGTCTACAGCCTTGTAATTGGCCCTACATGTGCCCGTGTCGGCATCCCCGTAGTGATCATGTCTTCTGTCCTCATTCACAGCGTTTTTAAATACCCCAAAGGCTCAAATTCTATTCGGGGCTATATGCACGATTGGCCGCCTTCCTCAGTAAAAGCGGCTCTTGCCTTTCACAGCATTTCGAATCTCCCGGAGATTCACTTCTATTCGATATTCAGTAACTCTTACCTCAAAGATCAACGAATAGGAAGTCACAATATTTTGTCTCATGCCGCTAATCTTCACAGCATTCTTAAAGCTCTGCCCGCCTCAAATCGGGTCAAGTTCACTTAGCAACAAATATAAATACACTTCCACCGCATTTTTTCACAGCATTTTTTCTCCTCCCCGGCGCTCGCCTCATTCATTACGACAGTTGACCACCCTTCAGACCCGGTAGCCTCGTGACGTTAATTTCCACAACGCAGAGCTCCTTTCCACTCTTATAGCACACATTACAAGCCTGCCTGTTTGTGGAAAATAATAATACAATCATTTCCAGAGTTCATGCTTCCGTCGCTGGTGAATTAGCCCCTTGGTGCCCATTCGGGTTGGGTACCTCGGGCAAGTCTTATTGCAGCGAGCATCAGTAGATCCGATGCAGTAAAGCAACTACTATTAGCATGCCGTAATACAGCTCGACTATTGATGCCCGGGCTGCTTTTCAGATTTATCCTTTCGCCAAACGGTGAGATGTCTGTTTTATCAGATTACATGTCATGGTTCAAATCTTCACTATCAACTCAAAACTGTTTGCTCCAGAGATAGCTATCTAGTACAAAGAGAAATTTGACAATTTCAAATAGAATAAACAAATCTTTCTGAATAAAAATGCAGCCGCAAGAAAAGTCGTCATTCTGCGGGCGTGTATATGTATGTATATAGTATATCATGATATGTCGTCAATATGCCTTCTGTAGGAGAAAAAAAAATGCCGCTCTATGCATTCCGCCGTATAACAACACTAAGGGTATCTAACTCTCAAATTCTCCAGGTAGTTTCGGTACTGCTTCATCAAAACCTGAACGCTGGAATCAACAAACTTGGCCAGCTCTTCCGGGTTTCTGGTCCTCTCCACGCGCTCCAAATCCACCACGACAACTCTGCTTCCCACAACGTGAAAGTTGTCAAGCTTCACATCGTCTTGCACAAAGCCCCTCGAGGCAAGCGCAGAGAGCGACTCGTGTATCAGTTTGCGAACAATGGTGTATGCTTCTTCTGCCGTCTCGATCGTATAGGGGATGCACACGCCGCCAACGTCTGCCATGAGGTGGCTTCGCACCCCTTCGAACTGGACGACCCCAAAGTGGCGCGGGATGACGGTTCCTTGTAGTGACTGTAGGCTTCGGTACGATGCCAGCTCGTTGTCAAACTCTTCTTCCCAGTCTGGTTTCTGGCACTTGAGGACGATGGCTGGAGGCAGATACCACTCGGGGTACCATCTTCGCATGTAAGCTTGTGCGAATTTGGGGAAGAGGTAGAGAATGGCTTTGACGACTCGATCGAGCAATGATGGTTGGATTCTTAAACGGCGGACATTTGGATGGTAGTTGTCGGCGGCCTGGCCGATGGCTGTGATGTGACGAGTGCCGAATCGGAAATGCTGTCAAGGAGTTGGTTAGGATGGTGTCGCATGCATTTCATCAAAAGCTGAAAAAAAACTCACAACTGTTTCTATCGGTGCATTGCCCGGTATTTTTCTGCTCATATGAAGTCCAGGGAGCAAATTGGACATTGCAAAACGACTGACTGAAATGCGGAGAACGACAAAAAGGGAAAGAAAAGAAAAGAATGAGAAAAGGAATGAATGCAACGGCAACCAACCTATGGCTCCAAGCAAAAAGCCAGGCGGGAAGGATGACTGTGCCTTGCAAAAGAATTAAAAAGAGCGGCGCAAAACTCAAAGCCTGGATGGCGAGTTGAATGGCGGATGACAAACAGAGTCAAATAGTTGTATCCAGCTTGCATCTTTTGGATTAATTTTGGCGGCCAGGCAATTGGCGGTAGGGGGGTTGGCCAATCAGCGTGCAAAGATGACCTAACCAATTAAGTGGTCGCGTTATCGATAAGAGGCGGCGGCTCGGGCCGTCCAAACTCGATCTTTAAGCGGATGCAGTTCTCGATTTCTCTGGTAAAGATGGTAAATTGTAGAGATTTAATGGTGCAAATCTAATAAAGGTAGACTTGAACAAGGATAACTGGTACGATAGGCTTGCAGCCAAAAAAACAACGTATTTGTTAAAGCAGGATCATACTGATTGCAGCATCTGTCTATAATTGAGTTTGCCGTTCTAATGATGTGGTTCAAAAAGGTTTTACAGTTGCCAGAATAATGAGCTCGCATTTTGCTGTGGAAGTAAGTGTTTGCTTTTGAGAACAAGCTTTTCCCAACCGAAACATCATCTCGCGTCTCTCTTCAAATGAGCATCTACCTAATGCAGGTCCTAGATCGCCTTGCTGCTAGGTTGGTCGCCTTGCGTAAACTAGCAACATACAACGGACATCACATGCGATATTCCCATGTGGTAATTACAGCCTTCAGCGGGCTAATGCAGGTTCATAATGATGGTACCATCTCGGCCACAGTTACCTCAATCAAATCTGAGGTGATTGTGTATGAGATCAAATGATGATACACAATTCTTGTCTCGGCATGGAATTGTACTTTCTTGAAGGTATTGGTCTAAGTCTCCAAACACGTTGAATTACCACCAGCAGTAACAAAATATAACGGAAAAGGTGTTGCATGCTGATAGCTTCAGAGGCGTATTCCCTAATGTGCTTAAACCATATAGGCTTTCGGGCTAATACATCGTGTATTGGAAAAGGTGCTATTCACCTACTAAAACATTGATGAAGAGTGATGCGGCCGTTATCTGCTTCTTTGATGAAAAACAAATACATAGAGTCTTATTTAACTTTCCGTCCCGTTAAGTTTGAGAGTCAGAAGAAGCAGATGCGAAATCACGCCCATAATGCAGGGTAGCCTCGGATTCGACTATGGCCCGAGTGATGTCACATCACGTGGGGCACGGCGGTTCACTTCCAATCCCTCTCAGATCCAGCATCACGCCACTTTGCGCCTGTTTCGAAGAGCTTCATTTGCCAATGAATTGAGTCAGTTGTTGACAAAACCAATTCGACGATTTGCTTCTCCGTCATGCTCCGTCCAACAGCTCTCCGGCCGGTGCTGCGGTCTTCACCGCGGTGCCAGCAATGCCTCCGCCGCAGCCTCTTCTCCGGCAAAGGCTCGACCCGCGCATCGCAAGACTTTGATCTCAACAAGCTCAATTCCCAGCGCCGCGACTACGAGCGCCATCGCACGATATTCCTCGCTTCCGGAGCCACCGCCGGCCTCATCTCATTCATCTACACAGCGTGGAAGCTGAAGGAGGCGCTGGCAGAACAGAGTGAAAAGCAGAAGCAGAAGGTTGCAGTCAAGTGCGACGCACCGGCAATCCCCACCGAGACGTTCAAGACCGAAGCTGGAGAGAAGCGGAAAATAGTTGTGCACGATGAGGAAGGGAGGGTCATTGTCCCCACGGGGAACAGCGTGGTGCCCGCATTCCCGCGAACCATCAACGTCAAGCTGCCAACTTCGCAAGAGACCAACCCCGTTGCGGCAAGCATATCGGACAAGGAGGGCGACGAATTCACACTTGTTGGCTTGGGTATACGTACCGTGACCTTTCTCAGCATCCAGGTCTACATGACGGGATTCTACGTTGCGACGCAGGATATTGCAAAGCTGCAGCGGTATCTGGTCAAGAAGATCAACCCCACCGCCACGACGCTGATACCCGCCGAGAAGGATGCCCTGCGCAAGGCTCTCCGGGATGCGACAGAAGGCGAGGAGACGTGGGATACGCTGTTGCGAGAGGCCGGCTGCCGCAGCATCTTCCGCATCATTCCCGTCAAGGACACCGACTTCCCGCATCTGCGCGACGGCTTCGTGAGGGCCATTGCCGCGCGATCGCAGCGCAGCGCGGCGTACAATGACGACGCTTTTGGCGTGGCCATGCGAGACTTTAAGGCGCTCTTCAACCGAGGCTCCGTGCAGAAGAAGCAGGAGCTGCTGCTGTGTCGCGACGAAAAGGGTCTATTGTCGGTGCTCTACAGCCCTGACACTGGACATGATCCTAAGAGAGAGGTCATGGGCACATTTGGCGAGGAGAGGCTGTCGCGACTGTTGTGGCTGAATTATCTCGCCGGTAGCAAGGTTGCTTCAGAGCCGGCACGGGAGAGCATCATCGAGGGCGTTATGGAGTTTGTAGAGAGGCCGATTGGAACGGTGGCAACCCAAGTTGTATAGACGGTGGTATTGCCCATGCGATATTGATAATTATAAGATGGGGGGAAACACCTTTATGTATTATATGGGCGGCCGGGATGTGTACCGCGGCCGCATTTATTTGACAAGGAAAGAAAGCAACTCATCAAAGCGGAGTACATGTGATGGATAAATATTGTATATTTGTAGCCAAAGACAAAAAACTGAGAAGATGACAACTCTATACTCTATTCGAGTCTGGAGCATCGCTGGAAACTCCACTGCATTCTGGCATCAACTCAAAAAAATGCAGTGCTCATCTATAACTTGGATCTACCGTCTTCTCTATTCGACGCCAAACAGCAAATGCCGTCAGCTCAAAACACATATTTTCTTAATCTTGTTTCTATCATCGTTCTTGCTTACGCAAATGCGCCGGCCTCCTCGAGACGGCTCTTGAGCGTGCCGTTATTCTTGAGCTCCTGCAGGTCCGAGTTTCCGCCGACGTGCTGCTTGGCGAAGAAGATGTTGGGGACGGATCGCTGGCCGGAGATTTCAAGGAGGGCATCCTGGAGGTCGTCACCGTCGTCTGTTAAATTAGAATGTTAGGGACTTTTTTCTATATTTTGATTTGGGGATTATTGAGCGAAGCGTACTTCGGTTGTCCAGCTCGACGACTTCGTAGTTTGCCTTGATCTCGTTGAGGGCGGCCTTGGTAGCCTTGCAGTAGGGGCACCACGTCTTGGAGAAGACCACTATTGTTTTGACATATTGTCAGTTTCAAATACCTCTCTGGGCAGGGTGTAGAGCGAAAAAACATACCGACGTTGTTGTTGTTGATGATGCGCTCGACTTCCTTGACGTTGGCCATTTTTGCTTCGGGACTGAGTCTTGCTGCGGATGTGAAAAAGGATCGGATAAAGTTCATGGATGTTTGTGATGCTGAGAGCAAGAGTATTAAATTAGGGTAGTGATGGTGTTGCGAGATATATATAGAGTGATTCTATAGTGTTGCCGCAAGTATGTAATCGAGCCTTGGACGAGTTCGGATTCGGCGCAGATGATGTGATGGCGGGCACCTGTGAGATTTCCCACAGCCTGTGAGAATGACGAACTGGGCACAAGACGCAGCCACTAAGAGTTGCCCTGTGCATCAGTCAGCAGGAGGGGCCGGGCTTGGATTTGTCAAGGACTAATGAGGGCACTACGGGATTGGCTTGATTCCAAAGGGGCGTTGGGGCGCACGATTCGGAGGGGACTTGGGGCTGTTTTTCGAGGGGTTCAGTGGCTTTTTGATGATGGCGCTCTGAATTACGGAGAGCTCATTGTATAGATCGTGAAAGAGTAGATGTATTCGATCTGATGGTGAAGATTCATAGCAAATGTAGGTATACAAGGCCGTAGATGCTTCGAGAGACACGCGCATTAGCACCCGCCCCTGTTACCGAATTGGGATAATCGCCAACTCGGGCAACAGGCGAAACCCGTGCTGTTTGATCGAAAATTGCAGTCCACATGGTTTGCCTGCTTCGGTCCAACTCGGTCCAGTTGTTAATGGGATGCCGCATTACAGTATTGTATAACAAAATTGCTGATGGCATCTATATCAATGGAATTAGGTCGGAATTTTATAAACATTTCAAACTTGTTGTTAATTATGGTCTCTGTATTCATGTAATCATGAATTTGCTCATGGCCACAGCTGATCAATGCCATCAGCACTCGCCATCATAACCCACTACACCTGGTATACTGCTAATGTCTTCCTCTCGTACAACTCACCACCCTCGACATCTTTAATCAAAAATCTTCTTCCACACCCACAAGCTCGTCCGATCCGTAAACTCCTTGAACCCTTCCAACCCCCATTCCCGCCCAAGCCCACTCTCCTTTGTGCCTCCAAAGGGGATGTTCGGCGCCACGTCAAAGTGCGAGTTTATCCAGACGCTCCCCGCCGTGAGCTGGCGGCCCATCTTCTCGGCGCGCACCAGGTCCTTTGCCCAGACCGACGCTCCCAAACCAAGCCTGAGGGCGTTTGCGCGCTCGACAACTTCCTCATCTGAGGACCACTTCTGCAGCGGGATGATGGGGCCAAAGGGCTCTTCGACGACGATGCGCGCATTGTCGGGCGGGTTGTCGACGATGGTGGGCTCGGCGAAGTAGCCCTTGTTGGAGTTGGGGATGGTTCCGCCGAGGGCGACTTGGTAGCCTGAGTCTTTGACGTCTTGATATACGCCTTTGAGGAGTTCGTACCTGATAAAGTCAGTAAACCTGGAAGCGCCTATTATCGAATTGATTACGAGGACAACTCACTGCATCTTATTCTGGACTGGCCCTACCATGACGCCGGGCTCTAATCCGCCACCATTTTTGACATGCTCCTTGGTGAACTGCACCAGGGCCTCCTTGAACTGGTCGTATATGGCCTCGTGCACATAGAGGCGCTTCGCCAGCATGCAAATCTGCCCGGCGTTGATAAACGACAGCGTGGCAATCTTGGGCAGGCACTTTGCGATATCCACGTCCTGGCAGACAATGAGGGCGTCGTTGCCGCCGAGCTCGAGGACGCACTTCTTCAGCGTGTTGGCACAGCTTGCAGCGACGAGCTTGCCGGTGCGGACCGAGCCGGTGAAGGTGACGACGTCGATGCCCGGGTGCTCCGTGATCCAGGGGCCGAGGGCGTCGTCGCCGCTGAGGACCTGGAAGACGCCGGGAGGGTAGATGGACATGGCCAGTTCGCCCAGCTTGAGGTCTGTGTAGGGTGTGTAGGGCGAGGGCTTCATGATGACGGTGTTTCCCGTCATCAGCGCCGGTCCTACTTTGCCCAGGCCGAGAAGGGCGGGCCAGTTCCAGGGCACGATGGCGGCGACGACGCCGACGGGGTTGTATGTGCCGTAGATGATGCGCTCGTCGTTCTCGTCAAACACATCGTCCTTGAGCTCCATGGTGGCAAAGGTGCGGAGCCATTCCAGCACGTTGTCAAACTCCCGCTTGGAGACGAGGAGAGGCTTGCCGGACTCGATTGTGTCGAGTCTCTCGAGCTCTTCGCGGTGAGTTTCTATCGCATCTGCGTAGGCGAGCATGAGCTTGGAACGCTCGTCAAAAGATGATTTGGACCACGTCTTGAAGGCATTGTGGGCGTGTTGGACGGCGTTGTCGAGATCGTCTTTTGTTGCGAGGGGCGCGACGAATAGGGGCTCTTCGGTGGCGGGGTCTATTGTGCGTCGAGTCTCTGTTGTTGGGACGAACTCGCCGTTGATGATATTGCCTTTGTAAGTCTGATGACATGGAGTGAGTTAGCCAGTTGTTGGATTGCTATAGTATCGACTTTGTTAATCCCAAGCATACCGTGATATCAAGTGTTCGTTTGACTGTCATTGTGAGGAATTTCAATCCCTTGAGCAAGGAGAGTAGCTTGAGGTTCTTTGGGGTTTTGAGAGAGATGAAGAGTCAGTATACTCCCCGGGAATGGTTACATACGAGCTGGTATATATACCTATGCATCTGTATGCATCCTTTATAGTCCCTTACATGCTCTCCCCTCTCGGTGTGACATTCATCCATGTCGATAATCAGCTAGGAAACCCCCATCTTGACGCCCGATTCGTCCACATTTAGCTTCTTCACCTCGTGTACATCGGCTATCGATATATGCTGGAATCCAGCTTAAACTACTCGATATTTAGATCAAGATAGGCTGCAGCGCTAAACCGCCCCCACGTCTCAGGCACGCCATCAAAAGTTCGATGATTACGCATCTCAACATGCAAGTAGCACAGTGTATCTCATATCTCAGCAACGTATATCTACCTCATGAAGCATACTGTATTGATATGGAATCAAATATACCAAGACAACACTTTCCTTACTAGAGCAACACTTCCACTACCAATATCAAGGTCCGTCTCAGCAATTAGCTAAGTCCGCAGGTGGATAGCAACAAACACCGCCGCCTATCACATACAACTTTATAGTGTTGACTGGCGGTGTTTTTTGCTATCCGCATGGTCGCTAGCGAAGGAGCCGTGACTGCTTCGAGTCAAGCACCACAAGCCATGGCTTCGGGAGCAGCCAACGGCAGATTTAGGCGCAGCCCCCGCGGATTACCGATATAGTTGTCATGGAATCAGCAACATCGTTATTACTGGAATCAGGTAAAATCTAGCAGCGTACGAGGGTGCTGGCTGCCAGCCAAGTTTGCGGGGAACCTGGAGCATTGCCGTTTTTAGTCTAGAGAGGCAGATTTCCGGAGTAGGAGGCTGAGATTAACTCCGCGGTGATGACAGGGAATTTGACAAAGGAGCAATATCATAGGATAGAAATGAGACAAGGCGACGCTTCTAAGGAGGAAAGCGAGAGCCACAGTGTCGGATGTGGTTTTCGGCTTTTGAGAGTTGTCGATGCTACAAGTAAAAGAGTCTGCGGCCAATGACTGGACCTTGATTATCTCCGAGATGCCTCGCATTGGCTGGGCATGTGATTACGACTCAGCAGCAGATTCACGCTAAATGAGATGCCTACTTATATACCTACGCATATACAAACTTGCCAAGAAGTATTAATTTCGAAACCAGACGAACGAGATGCGTATACGTTAATTCTGGCACAGGCAATGACGATAGGCGTCAGCAGGGCACGGCTCGTTGTGGAAGGGAGTATCAGCAGGGCAACCTAAACAGCTGTTCCAAGTCAGTTATTGGAGCTTCAAGTAAACTTCAAATATGTATACCTGTCTGGATTCCAACAGTTTGGGGACTCGGATTCAACTAAGACTGGTATGGATTGGAACCTTCAACAATGGACGTGTTCAATATCAATCCGTTCAATGCAGCGCATCAACCCAGTGCTCAATCCCCGCCAAGTGACCAGAGCGCTGTACGTCAGCAGCTACGCTACAGGCTCTTAGTGGCCCCAGCCAGGCCTCAGTCGCTATCCGAAGGCCCCAGAGCCCCCCAGAAGCGCCCCGCCAGTTCTCCAACTGCCGCTGACACCCAATAAAATATGGCGCCCAGACCGAGAAAATCAAACGTCCCCCATATTTCTCGTCCATACACCATCCGCCTCTCGTCCAATCCATCTCGCCTGCATCACCGGCTCGACACCACAGCCTAGCCTTGCCCGAATTCCACTAGCCGCCATCGCGAGGACCGTTGCTGGGCTGTGCTGCAGCCGAGAAGAGCGAATCGCCCGTCGCTCTCACCGTGTCGGCGCAACAAGTCGCTCTGCGCTGGCCCATCCAACAGCCTCCCCAAATCCAGTCCTGTCGTTTCGGCTAGAGCCGTGATCGTCGCCGGTTCCTGTGGCCAATCTGCATCTGTTGGCCTCGCTCGGTCTGCTCGACCCAATCGCAGCCTTCCACGAAGACAATTCGCCGCCAGGTCTTAGTTTTCGCTCAGCCTTGCTTTCCGCCCCACGACACGACCCCGCGATCAATCTTTACTCGTTCGTCCATCTTGAACAGGGCAAACATACACACTCAACACAGCGAGAGGGCGCATCCAGGCCAGACAGCCGGCTTTTTCTTTCTTTTCTTCTCCTTCTCCTCCCCTCTCTCTCCTTTTTCCCAGCTGGAAAGGTGTCCTCCGTCAGGGCCACCTTGATACCCAAGACGCCAAGGTGGATTCCAGCGAGCCCGTCGTGGCATCTTCTGGTGCCCTGCAGCATCTCATCGCCAACTACCTCAACGGCACCCTCACAAACCTCTCGGCCGCCTTCCAGGAGTCGAGCGAATACATCTCAGGGACGCTGGGAGTCCCGCCCACGTACGTCTATAGCGGCCTCGCTGCCCTTGTGGCCCTTCCCATCACCATGTCGCGATTCGGCTGGTCGCTCAACCGCGAGCAGAGCTTCGGCGCCATGCCCGGCGGCGTGCCGGACATCACAAACGAAGACTTTAGCTACATCCCCGCCCAGGACCTGGACGATCCTAGAGTCGAGTATATCGATACTCGCCACTTTCCTCGGCCGGTATCCAGGGGACCTTCGGATCTTGAAGACGACATCTTGGTCATCAAACACAAGGGCATAACGTACCCGGCGCACTTCCCGGCCTACTCGATCGGCGATGGCAAGCTGTATGTCAAGGATGTGCGAGATCGCATCGGCGTCATGATGGAACTGTCATCACGTACCACCCGTCGCATCAAGCTCCTCTACAAGGGCAAGCAGCTGAAGGAGTCATCTTTGCCGATTCGCCAATACGGAGTCAAGAACAAGAGCGAGCTCATGGCCGTCATACCCGATGGGGATGATGAGAACAGCGATCGATCGGATGAAGACGTCATCACTGTGGACGAGCCGTCTCGACGTGACTCCAAGTCCTCAAAATCCAAGAAGAAGAAGAAGGGAAGCAAGAGGAAATCAGACAAGAATGACCCCGGATCCCCGACCAGCCCTCTCGACAGCGGATCAAACGGCGACGCCGCCAATGGCGCCGTCATCAATGCTGCTTCGAAGAAGTTGGATGAGATTGAAGACGAGTTCCGATCCAAGTGGCTGCCTCTCTGCTTGGACTACATCGACGCGCCCCCCAAAGACCCCAAGAAGCGGGACGACGACCACAGGAAAATATCTGAAACTGTTTTGCAGCAAGTCATTCTGAAACTCGACGGCGTAGAGACTGAGGGTATCGATGAGATTCGACAGAGGCGAAAGGAGCTCGTTCGACGGACCCAAGAGGTGCTCAAGCGACTAGACGCCGCAAAGGCATCATGACTGTATCGCATGCGCCGTTTTCTATTATCGTCGCGATTATAATGATTGATTCGTTTTGTTTTGCGCGCTGAGTTCCCTGTATGGCCTTTGGTTTATTCTGCATACAACTCTTCACTCCTTCTTCTCTGTTTCTACGAAAACAATACATACATACACACATACTAAAAAGATTGTTGGGTGATGCTTTGATTTGCAGATAAAAGGCGTTGTTTTTACAAAGAGAGACGAATGGCGGAGTGGGCGCTGGGACGATGATACCGCAGCAGCTTGGTCCATGAGCGAGACACTAGACCTTTTTTTTTTATTCTCTCGTCTACATTTGCGCAGCTCATTATAACACAGAATTAGAAAGAAAAGAAGCAAGCTGCTGATATTATCGCATGTTATGGAAAGATAGTATGAAGCTGGGAGAATGGGCGGGCGGATTTGTTGAGAGACGACTCTAGAAAGAGTAGAGAGGGTGGCATATTATACAGATTGACGATGATGCATGGCGATATAGAATCAATTTCTGGCGATGAATATGAGTATTAACAATCACCGATATATTTTGACTATTTCACTTTTTGTCTGTCCAACACTCTACACTATCATCGTCATCTCAGTAGAAAAGCCCTGTTACATCTTCATTTACATCATCAACACTGCTGTGCCCCATATTAGAAGCTCATTCACAGGTACATCGGTCGCAGTCACGTGCATATCCAAAAAAAAAGTCGTCACCACAAACGCCGTCTAGCCCCGGCAAATCATCGGCCCAGGCCCTCTAGGTCTCGCAGCCCTAAGCACCACCAACCTGCGTGCCCTTCTTCGCCTGCCCCGGAACCCACCCTTGCCCGAAGCGGCTAGGCGGCCTTGTTCCAAAGGCACAACCAGCCCCAAGTCGGCACTCCGATTTTCTCGCCCGTCCTACTTGGTATCGCGACTCACTTCCACCAACTTTTGCCCAGGGACGACTAACCCACAGCAAGTCACAGTAACAAATTCTCGCCGGTGAGGGTTTGTGTGTCTTTCTTTCTTTTTCCATCTTTTCTTTCCAACCCCCCGAAAGAAAGCCGGTACGATGTCGTCGTTCGAGTCGGTTGTGAGTACTTGCACCAGCAGATAATTCCCGTGATAAGCACGCACGCACATGTTTGTTGTCTTCGCCTGGGGAATCCGAAATCGTTTTGTCGAAGTGCCAAAGAAGGGAATGCCTGGGAGCAGGTTGGCTGCTTGCGCACAATTGCAACGGCATGGTATCCGAATGGGAGCATGGGATTGAGACTGTTGGATATGGATAATATTGATTTCGCTTTTTGCTTGTTTGCGCTGGATGGCAATCGCTGCTGCTGCTGCTTCTCTTCTTTGGCACGACACGACAATCGATCTACGACGAGACGAGACACAAACAAGATGTGCATGCACATACACATGCGGATGTCGAATGCTAACATGCATCTTCCAGGTTGTCGTTGACGGCAAGGGCCATCTCCTTGGCCGTCTCGCCTCCATTGTTGCCAAGCAGCTCCTCAACGGCCAGAAAGTCGTTGTCGTCCGCTGCGAGGCCCTCAACATCTCTGGAGAGTTCTTCCGCGCCAAGCGTACGTCCATCATCTTCTACCGCCCTCCCCGAACTTCCACTCTTATGCGATTGCTTGTTTTGAGTTGGAGCCACTCTCCGGAGTCGGCCTAGACGAGCAATCACTGGATACCCATACGAATCGGCTTGGAAAGAAGAAAAAGAATACTGACAATTCGAGCAGTCAAGTACCACGCCTACCTGCGCAAGATGACCCGATACAACCCCACCCGCGGTGGTGAGTTTGCGACTCCAACATCCTCCTTGGCTGTGTTGCGAAGATATTAACGAATTCGTCTTTGTCCAGGTCCCTTCCACTTCCGCGCCCCCTCCAGAATCTTCTACAAGGCCGTCCGTGGTATGATTCCTCACAAGACCGCCCGCGGTGCCGCCGCTCTGGAGCGCCTCAAGGTCTTCGAGGGTGTCCCTCCCCCCTACGATAAGAAGAAGAAGATGGTCGTTCCCCAGGCTCTCCGTGTCCTGAGACTGCAGCCCGGTCGCAAGTACTGCACCGTCGGCCGTCTGAGCCACGAGGTCGGCTGGAAGTACCAGGACGTCGTTGCCCGGTATGTCAACACATGGCTCTTTGCTATCTGAGTGAAATTGTGATGGAAACTGAAATACTGACTTTCAAATGCAGTCTGGAGGAGAGACGGAAGGCCAAGGGCGCTGCCTACTACGAGCGCAAGAAGGTTGCTGCACGACAACTGTCCGACGCGAAGAAGAACGCCTCGGTCAAGGAGGAGACCGCGAAGGCCCTTGCGGCTTATGGCTACTAAGCTGGCCATTCCTAGGATTCCCCTGCCGGGGGGAACGCCTTGGTACTTCGCATTGTCTTTTTCTCGTGCGTTTCATTAGATTGGCGCGGCGGTTCACAAAGGAATTATACTTGATTTGCTGAGTGATGGCAAGGGCGGCGGGCTTTTTGGGGGCGGATGGGAACTTTTTTTTTTCTCCAAATCATTGTCTTTATGAACAATCTCTCTTTGTCATCGGAACCCATAACCCAACTCCGCAGAGAAAATAAAGCACAGGAAACCCCAACAATCAGCACGAAACAAACATGGGAAAAACGGGAGTCATATTCTCCTCTTCTTCTCCTCGTGATGGTGACAGCGGATGGACTGATGCGATGTTGTAATGTGGCTCTTTTTGCGGTATTGGTTTCTGCTTGTCAGGGAACAATCGGATTGGGATTGGGGAACAGGACTTTGGCAAGGAAAATGGTTTCTTATTTTTTTCTTTTTATATCTGACCCGCGATGGCCCTTTTACTGCTGCTCAAGGACGCTATTTCCCCGGCTTATTACGGAGCAACAACAAAAAAAAAAGTGAGTCGGCGACAAGGAATTGGGGGACGTGGGAGAGGAGATGGGCAAGTGATGATCATACCCTTTCTCTAAGCAAAAAGAGGTGTCTAGCATTGCACAAATACTAGGAGTAGACGGAAATGATAAATGCTTTGAACAATTAATGATGATATATGTGATTTCTTGAACTGTTTTATTGAAGCGTGTGGTTTCTTTTTGAGCGTGTGATTCTCTTAGTCTTGGATATCGGTTTCGACGATGTTCTGTGTTACTGAGAGATTTCGCCGTTGTAAGTAATTTCGATCATTGTATGTTCTACAAGTCAGACCTCACAATTTAATACGCTTCCCTTTTAATTAGTCCATAGATACTTTCTACGTAGACATTTCAAGGTCTGGCGTGGCCCATCCGTAATGTCACTGATTTGTAACTCACACTCATCATTTCCATTTATCATCACAATCACATGCCTGCGAAATACCAATTTCGATAATCTTGAATTGATCCTTTTAGGGTAAGACGCCGTGCTTCAAGCTCAGCGCATCCACAGCTCAAAGTCGCAAATCTTTAGCGCTTTGGCAATCGAATAGCACAACACCCCACAGTCATGTGCTGATAAGATAAACAACTTTCTGGGGGCCGGCGCAATGAGAGGTGTCCTCACTGGTATGATTTGGCGACACATGTGCTTCCTCACCTTTGTTTTCTGCAACAACCACTTTTTGTCGGCGCAAGTCATTGGCGCGCTTGAAGTCTGTTCTTTTCGTCAAGTCACATACAGTTCAATCCTTACCATAAAGTAAAACAAGAAAGAAACAACCATCGCGCACACGTTGCCCAGAGACACCCCGCAAAACCGCCATCATGTCGGACCTCGACCACTTCAGCATGCTCCCCATCCACATGGACCCCCAGTCCAAAGCCATCCTCCCCTCCGGCAGCAGACCGTCGCGCGCCCTCGCCGCCGAGCTCGAAAAGCTCAACACCCTCCACCGCGCCATCCTCAACATCGAAGTGCCCCCCGGCGCCATCCCGCTGGTCCCTCCCCCTCCCATCCCCGTCAACCCAAAGCGCACTGCCAACGTCTCCAAGCTGCGCGACAACGGCAACGCAGAGTACCGCAAGCAAAAGTACGCCGAGGCGATCAAGCTGTACACGCAAGGGATCGAGGCGGCGCTGCAGAGGCCGCTGTGGGAGCCGGCCGCGCTAGTGAGGGAGGAGGTGTCGATGCTGTATGCGAATCGCGCGCAGGCGCATATGGGCTTGAGCAATTGGCCTGAGGGCGCGGTGGATGCGGAGGCGAGTGTTGAGGCGAGACGGGTGGGCAATGCGAAGGGCTGGTGGAGGAGGGGGCGGTGCTTGACGGAGATGGGGAGACTGGATGAGGCGCGGGAGTGGGTGAAGAGGGCGTTGGAGATGGAGGGCGAGGAGGCGGATTTGATGACGCTGTTGAAGGATATTGAGGAGAAGATTGAAAGGGTGCGGGCTGCTTAGGGGAGGAATTTGAGTGTGTGTACGTTTAAGAGCTTTTGAATGGCGTTTGGAGTATTTACTTGGACTGTTTGCGATGTTGTAATGATTTGTGGCTTTCCACGCTGCATCGGCTGGGCTTCTTTGTCTTGCTTATAGAGGGCATATACGCAATCAACAAGCTTTATCCCATGAACCCTGGTCGTCATGACATCTGATTTCAATTACATAATACTACTGTATTTGGGGCTGGGAGATGACTTTGGATATAAAAGCATATAAATTGTATTTGGCTCTATATCAATGCGCCATCCTGGTATTAGTCTAAAGCTATATAAAAAATATTGCACTTAACTGTATAACAAACAAGTCTACAAAACGACCGTTCACCCCCCCCCGTTCTATAAAATATATTGACACGAACTCCAGTGCAGAAAGAATTACACTCATATAAACTCATCACTGACCTCTTCCCAGTGCAGATTCGGCTATCCAGGTTACGTAGTTGCCAAGCACGAGGAATCGATCGCTTTCTTCTCTGCTGTCGCCAAACTTGCAGATATTGCGGTGATTTGTTCTCGGCAAGCCTCTGATTTTCTCTCCAGAAAGGCCCAAGTTGGCCGAGTCTTGATCGACAATCTAACTTTGTGAGTGATGATTCATCTATATAAGAGCTGGACGGAGCATAAAGACTTACCAATTTGCCCCCCGTCTGTTCGGTCTCAAAGAAAGAGGCAATGAAAATGTTAGTCGCCCTAAACCTGAAATCCGAGCCAACTTTCTTCCATTCGTTGGAACTCCTCGAAATTGCCCGAACCAGCCTCTTGTTGCCGCGACCGGTAAGCACGTTCATGATGAGGGCAGCATTGCCAGCCCAGTAGGCCAGATCGGCGCCACGATGCGGAACGCCGAGGAAGACACACCCAGCGGCTTTATCGACAATATTTTGCCAGTCAGTGTTTTCTGTCCAGGCTTTGTTGAGAGCCTCCATGGAGATGGATATCATTAGCATGACGTGTACGATGTTATATCTAGAAAGCGCAACTGACTGCTTTCACTACCAAGCCGCCTAGGCTGTGTGCAATGAAAATGAGAGAAGTCTTCTTCTGCTCGCTCGTGGTTCTAACACTGTCGACGTGGCTTAAGAGGTCCCCCGCCACTATTTCGATGTCGTTGACTGTGTTTGTGAAGATGAAATTGGCGTCGTATCCGAAAGACAAAATCCTTGGTTGAATGTTTGCCCTCGCGAAGAGTTGGGGTAATCGGTCTCGAAGCCAAATGGCTCCATCATCGGCCCTCCAAGTCTTCAGCCAATTGCCACCTAGCCCATGGACTGCGATGATATTGGGGCGTTGTCGGGTTAGTATTCCAGTACATATCTAGTGCTAGGAACGACGAGGCCGGTTATACTAACTCCACATGCTGGACATCAATCCCCGATAGTTGTGGCGGTGGTACATCTGCCCGTAGAGGAAATTCGCGGATCCCAAAGTTTGCTCGTGCTTCATCTTCTGCGGGCTGCGGTGCATTGGCTGTGTTCTTAGAATCACGCCAGAACAATAAACGGCTATGACGGCTCATGGTAATTTAGAGGTATTGATCTGAGCGTTGAGATGATTGTAAAGTTTGTAAGATGCTGTTCTCATGGCTCATCGTTCGGACACCAGGACTTTATATAGGCTGGCGGCCAGCACTCCATCTCCGCAATGATCCCCTCGCCTCAGCAGTTCTCACGATAGCATCGTAATGATTGGTTTCGAAAGCGGCAAAATGGATATGGATCTTAGGACTGCAATCTCTCCATGCAAGAACAACGATTGTTACACCAGTGGCAGCATCGCTTCTGCCTCGCCCAAGGACATATAGAATGCCTTAAAGTGGGAACAATTCATGACTCTTTTCCCTGTTTGCTCAATGGAGCAGCGTCGTCGAGTCCTCGAGTATATGTGTGTGTCACGTACCTGGTGGGCTGTGAGTACGCTGGATTGTGTGGAGAGAGGTTGAGAAACTGGGAATGGAATTTGAGAGAGTTTATTCATTCCCTATCATGTTACACCTACCCACTTCGAGGAGGTCTCTGCAGACAGCAATACGGGCCTGCGCCTCGTCATATGAGCTGGTACTTCGGGAAACCTCGGGAAAGCACAGCACATAGTACAGGTACACAACAGATGACCCCTTATCGCATGGACAATGGTCTCCATGAATATCTGGGTTGACTCAGAGGTAGTGCCATTAAGGCTGCATCTTCGACTGGTATAACATATTGTACCTGCATACGCGTACTGTGGGTTTGCATATCGAATGAATTCCGTGTTAGTCGAGTCCTAGATCTAGGAGAGGTTCGCGGGAGGCCTGATAAACTCTCCCTACCAGATTCTATGATGCATGGTCCTCCTAACCTGGCGTAAGGCTGTGGAGAAGCAACGGAAAGCCACCTGTAACTTGGTCTCAGCAGAAGCAACGACAGCGAGCAGGATAGCAATGCCATGGTTAAACGGCATAGCTGTTATTGGTCTTGTTTGTGCCACCCAGTCCATAGACCGCGGTAATACTAGAACGGAATCGGATCAGTACTGTATTAAACATTGGTATATCACTTAACAGAATGAGGCTGGTAATACTGACTCAACATGCTGGACACCGGCCCCCCAGATACCTCAGGCGGTGGCAGATCTGCCCTCTGAGGAAATGGGTGGATTCTGGACTTGGAAACTGCTCTTGCTTCATCTTCTTGAGGCTGTGATGGGCTAACAGTATTCCCTAAATCACGCAAGAGCTTTCGAAGAAGGCCATGACGGGGGCATGGCTATTCAACAGCATCGAGCTGAGCCTTGAAGTGGTTGAAAGAGATGAAAGTTGCTGCTCCCATGGTTCTTACCGCTGGAGGCCGGGACTTTATATAGTTGTAGGCTGGGGACAGCATTCCCTCTTTCGTACGATCCTCACGGAAGAGCTTCGAGACGCCTTTGAACAAAGGACAAAGGCATCGACTCCTGGATTGGATGCATGCGTGTGTCACGTACCTACTCGACTCATTCCGTGTATACTAACTAGATTGGATGGAGAGATGCTGAGAGAGTGGAAGATTGGGGTTATCTTCCTTTGTCTTTACATGCCCATCTCCTACCATAGTGATACCCAAGGAATTAAAAGGGGGCACATGCATCTCGTCATATGAGCTGGTGCTTAACAAAGGCACTACATACCTAGGCACCTGGTAACTAGGTTTCTTACTATACATGCTCACAACGGACGACTTGAGAATTGCCCCACAATGCTGGCCGTGTTCAGAACCTGTCTTTGTTACGTTATCACGGAGTGGAGTGTTGTTGAGGTTGGAATCTAGACTGAGATAACATGTTGTGCTTGCATAAGGTACATACAATGTGGGCTTAGTAGATGCACTTCTGTATAAGTCAATTCCATATCATGCAAGGCCCTCTTAAGCTGGCATAAGGCTGTGGAGAACTAACAGCAAGCCACGTGTATCTCAATCTCAGCAGCAGAAGCAACAACAGCAAAAAACACATGGCCATGCCTAAAAGGCACAGCTGTTGTTGGTCCTGTCTGTTGGTTGCTCCGTGCGTGGCGGCAGTTGAAGCCGGACTGTTTACTTACTAGCAGTAGCTTGAGCTTTGGACGCAAGGGAGCTAGATTGATCGCCTCTTGGCTTCCCTTGCGCCAGTCAAATGGGCGAAAAGGACAAGTCATTTTTTCCAAGCTTTTGAGTTTAGAGTGACGGGAGTACAACAGAGAGCGGCAAAGAGGCTTGAGTAGCGCCATGCAGGTACTAATTTAAAATACGTAGGTACGCATGTCATAGTTCTCCCTACATGGCGATCGAGGCGTCTGAAGGGCATATCTAAAAGAATTTGCAGAGTAGATGGAATCAAGGTCAATATCATATCATCATTCTCCTGTATATTATATCGACTGTTTTTCTGGCTGCTAAACACGCGCGCGCGCTGCCCTCCTCTTTAATCGCCGTTACCCTTTCCAAACAAGGAAATAAGAAAAAAGAGACAAACATAAAACAAGGTTTCCATTCTTCCTAGCACAATAGAGCGAACAATAAAGAGTTGAAATTAGGAGATGAAATTTGATGTTCTTGTTGAGTGTATCATGAAGACGCAAGGGGTATATGTGAAATGAGATATGTGTCATTTGAGTATGTCGTGAGTGGATGCTGTGGCGTTGGACTGAATTCATCTCTATCAATTCCGCAAAACGAGTAAAATGACCCCCCCTCCAGTGGAAAAAAACATTCCATTATATCCCAGATGCTGCAAAAAATAGGGGCTGATTTTTGGTGTGATTGGTGTAAATGAGTCGCGAGCAGCTTTGTGATGCATTAGAAGCTGCTATCAAAAGACACAGTATCGAATTATCCAACATGGCTGGTTTTCGTTTACTGGGCCTTCTCGCTGATAGTCTTCTCGACGGCAGAAGTCGTCTTCCTCCGGGGGCGCATGACGGCGTCCTGGCTGCTCATGCGACGGTCGAGGGCGCGCTCCAGCTTTGCGCCGAGAGCGAGCTTGCTCATGCGCTCGTACTTTTCCTCAGTCAGGATGACGCGCTGGGAGGAGAGGGCCTTGTTCTCCATGCGATCAAGGCCGGTGGCGATCTCGCGGATTTCGGCGTGTTGGGAGTCGTTGGTCTGGACAGACATGGCCACGGACGGGGCAGCCATGCTGTAGGTGCTGTAGCGGAGGGAAGCGCGGTTCTGCAGACGCATAGTTAGAGGAGTGAAGTAGACAGATAGAGGTGTATCAGTTGAAGAGAAAGAGAGAGCTGAGGGAAAAGAGGCGCGCCGCGCACACGACAACGGAGTAGCTTATCTATGCTCAGCTGGCAGCTCTGACTCGAGGAACGCACAGCAAGCTACACAGATGGAGCTACAAATGAAGGGCGTTTTAGTGCAAGGGAGAGACAAAAGACATACCGAAGGAGCCATGATTGGGCGAGCAGAGTCTATGGAGACAGGCATGGCGGTGGTGTTTTTGGAGACTTGGAAGCCTTTTTAACAAGAGGAGAGAGAAAAAAAGAGAGAGACCCGCTGGCAGGACTGTGAGACCTATCAAAGGCAGGGGTTCCGTGCTAGACTGATTGGCGGCTGCGTGTGACGAGCTCCAATCTGGATGTATAATGCAGAGTTAAAGAGGAGAGAGAAGAGGAGCAAGTAAGTTGGAGGTGTGTGATGGAGCAAGGGGGGCCAGCTAAGGTGCGAAGCTTGGCTTGGGCGGTTGTCGCAAGTTTGGTGTCAGGTTGGACCGGGTTTATAGTCGAGGCGATGAGTGGAAACAAAAACAATGGAGACTGGAGTCCTTTTCTTGTTCTTATTATCTCTCTTTGCGTGTCTGTGTTGATGGTAAGACGTTTGTGTTTTGTAGCCAATCGGGATTTTTTCTTTTCTTTTCGCAGTGGAATTTGACTTGTAGCAGGCTGCGTCGCGGTGGTCGTGCGGTGATGCTGGAGTGGGCTCTACAGGGAGAGGCAATGAACAAAAGAGGCCGCTTGTTTACTAGAAACGCGCTGGAGAGATTGGAAAACAAGAAGAAGGGAAAAAGAGAGGGACGGACGGGAGATGATGAGCGAGAAGCTGGTGGAGCCGATGGAGATGCGAAGCCGTGCTAGGTTCGTTTGAGCGGCGCCGACAAGGAAGCAGAGACAGGAGGGCCCTGGAGGGGGGGACGCTTTAGGGAGGGCTACAGCGGGGTGACCTGGCGGGCAAGTACCGGCCAAACGCTGTAAGAAACGCTGTGGACCTCCATGTGCTAGGCAGGGGGCAGTGCCGTAGCGGGCTTTATGGTGAGTGCCTAGCATGGACCCCGTTTACATATACAGTATCGCTGGTTTACTAGGCGTCAATGGTATCTGCTGGCGTCTCAAGCGCTGGCTTTGGCGGATAGACGCGGAATACGGTTTCTATTTTGATGTCATGACGGAGCAGATCCAATTCAAGGCAGTTGCAGCGACTCTTTTGATTCATCATTGGCTTCAAAGGCACCGTTGATCTGCTATATCACATCACACCGCGTGGGTACGGATAGCGTACTTGTAAGCGCCTGAGCGGGTTGCTGATCCATATGGTACCTGGTAAGTACTGCGTCGCTAAAACATAGAATACGAATGGCATGTCATTGCTACAAGGTAAAGAAGAGAGAATCTTATCTGTGATGACATGAATCTAGGATGTTGTGGCAATGGTAGATATTCCCTACATGCAGATTTATTCTGTGCTGGTTGCTGTACCTGCATGTGGCTGTTCTGCTATGTGCCTCTAGCTCTTACACGAAGCAGTGGTCTATACCGAGAACTAATGCTTCCTTTCTCGTCTCGCCTTCGTCACTAACACTCATTTCTTGATGAAACAGCAACGAGTGATAAAAAGACCAAAACAAGCTTTGACTACTGCCCGTGCAAAACACTTGTAGATCTTCGTCCTCCCGCCTCTATCCTCTGTCTGCTGCCCGTCTTCAGCGCTGTTAGCGGGTACCTGCGCCCCAAGTCCCCTAAGCGAACCCCTCAACGCCGCGGGGCGCACTCTTGCCATGTGCCAGACGCATGGTCAGGCCACCACTTTTGTTTCCTCGCTGCCTCTCACTGGCTTGTCTCTCCGCCACCAGCAACCCTAATCTGTGACCTGTCTCTTGTCTCTTGTCTCTTGCATGTCCGTGTCTTGGTTGTCTTGCACTGGCAAAGGGCAGCAAATGCGCTAACAGTCTCGGGCATAGATCTAGAATCTCGTTGTCGAGAAGAACAAAGAGGAGACAAGGCAAGGCGAAGCGAGACAAAACAGAGCAAAGCATTCACGGCTCGAATCGCCAACAACTCCATGATTTGACTCGTCGCTTTAAGAGAGTCGCATGTAACCAATTTACATCATAATCATCAACCATTATCGCCACCAGCAACCATCTGCTCAACCTCTACGCATTTCTATCGGCCGTTTCCTCCGCTCAGTCGGGCCTCATCCTTCAGCCCAAGCGCACCGCTAAGCCAATCAGGCCTATCGCCCGGCGTCTTTTTCCTCTCTCTCGCAGGGCAATTCTTTACATTCCAGCGCGGGGACGCCAAGCGGCGAAAAAGGGAAGCCTATCCCTGCAGCGCGTGCGCCATTGCACGTGGCTGGCCAGGGGAGGCTTGAAGCTTGGACGGGGCCAGTGTCTGAGGACAGGACAGGGCGATGATCCGTACTGGGCTTGTGGGCGTTAGTCCATACTGAGGACTCGTTCCATAGTGAGGGCTGGAGCGCTGTCAGGGTCCCCATGCCTGGTCCGGAGAACGCCGTGGTAGGGCAAAGATGGGCGACTGCCGTTTTGGCCATGGCCGCGACGATGACGACGGCCGGAGCGATGACGAGGGCCATGGCCGTCTTTTGTCGACAAAACATGGCCGATGCTGTGCAATCTGCTTGCCGCTGGAAAAGTGACACTGTCACGGGCACGATTTGACTTTCTGCGGGCGCCGTATACGCAGACACTGTGTGGCCGAGGGAAAAGAGTCCGTCACATTGGGATCGACAGCGTTACGCTAATGCCACATGTTAGCTTGCATAAGCAGACTGGCTGGCGCAACGCCATCAAGCCATTTTGCGCTTACAGCTGATTTGTCTCTGCAGGTCATTCACATGTAAGGATGCAAGAAGCGGGCTCAACATATGGCTCTTGAAATTGAAAGCCCGCATATATCTCGATTAGTATCATGCGATATGTCTCGGACATGGGAATCAACGAAGCACTAGCTATGCGCTAGATGACTTGTAATAGAGTGGAGTGGCTGGCTTAGATATGTAAAGTATCAACCGATATACTGGAGATACATCTGCATCTTCGAATGAAAATTGTTGGAACGAGCCTATCTACTAATACTCAGGTCTAGTCATCGCGATATACCGAGACTTTAGCACCATAACCCGCGGAAATTAGTTGTTCCTGGCTCGATTTTGTGCACATTGTCAAGCCGTCCAGACACGCATATTTGCGTCACTGATCTTGCAAAACAACAAATGTATCCATATCCTATTTATAATCCTCCCTCCTCCGCCTTCTTTAGTGTACAGGCGTGCACATTGGAACAAACATGTCTTCAAGCAATTCTTTATCGATAATCCAGTCTAAAAATACATGAATGAGAAACAACCTTGCGCCTCCAACGAGCCAGCCGCTAGAAAGTCAATCAAAATATCCGCCCGCAGCTCTTGACTCTCAGCTTCGAGACTTCGACTTGTGGCTCTTCTTGGATGACTTCAACTTCTTAGCTCGATAGTCATACGAGCAAGACGACGAAGATGCCGCCGTGCTTCCAGACTCCGAGGTTTTGTCGAGTGACAGCCCTTTCATCATGGCATACGGCGAATCGCACCCATGGTTTCTGGACGATGTTCCATACGTGTACTTGCGTGATCTCCCCTTGCGACTCTCCGTGACTCTCCGTTCTGGAGAGGGGCTGCGGGTCGGTCCTATTGTTAAACGGTCAACTTCACCGATACTCCACAAGGAACAGAGGGAGAAATTCTCGAGTTGACGAACCGAATCTCCTGCAATCGTCACAACATCCGTGGTCACACGTCCGCTGGTCACTTCCTATCCTCAGCGAGCCCAAATCATCTGGTATATCAGCCAAGGGAGTGGAGCACCAGCCCTGGGTATTAGGCCCCTGATTGCATTTACAGCATATCCAGCTACCACCCTTGTCTGCGAACTGGCAGTTCTTAAGAGGGCAGGACAACGAGCTTGATTGAGCTGGCGCAAATGTTGCGTTTCGGCAAGGTGTCTCGTAGCCTGTCTCCAGATCAATCTTTGCCGAGGGGCAATAGTACCAGACAAGCGAAGTATGAGCACATTCGTGGTAGCGGGGATGACCGTGACACATTGTGAGGGCGGTGAATTCAACGGTGGGGTCTGGAGTATAGAATCTGGAAGCTGGCGAAAGGGAAGAAGAAGGACAAGAAGAAGAAGGTAATGGTATTCGGTAAGAGGTGATTGGCCGTGAAAAGACAGAGCGAGCAAGATCGATTGTTCTGACTTCCTTCATCTCACTTCACGGCGAGCAGACACGAGTTTATATAGAAGCTCTGGTGCACTCTTGGCTGCTTGCTCTCATCGAGTCGAACAGATTGCCGTCCCCTCAGGGTCAGGGTCAATAGACAAACGCCTACGACACAAAGTGAAGCGTCAGTGCTGGCTGCCTTCATACAATACCTCTTTGACGTTTCACAGGTCTCTTGTGTCATCTTTGCCTACCAATCTTGGTGACATTGAAGCCAATAATCTCATATTATTGTTCAGATCTTGAATATTGTTCAAATCCTGGATATTATCGTTGAAGCGTGAATACGAGCCACACTTCGTTCCGTATTTGAACGCGAGATCCTACGCAATAGCCTGCGCCATCGGTCATACAAGCCCGCGCTCGTGATACCTCACCCGCAGGTATATGCAAGATGAGCGGCCCGACGCATTGAGATCTTGCCCGGATCCCGGTTTGTAGGCCGGCGCTTGAGCTAAATTAGAGGATTCATCGATTCAATGTCTCGCACAGCCTATGAGATCCGTATATTCACCTATGTATGACGGTACAGCCATTGTTTGAGTATTGATGTCAGAGGATCAAATATTGGCTAATGTGTTTCTTCAGCTTCAGGTCATTCGAATGAATCATGATGTTCGTATACGGACCAATCGCCGCTTCGATTCTCGGATAGATCTTTTTTTAGCCCAGCTTTGACAGTCTGCACAGATACCTTTTGGCAGCAAAGCGGACAACCCGAAGCGACTCCGCAAGTCAGCGCGCGGCCTGGGCTTTGCGTTACGGTTGGGAATATTAGTTGCGTCGGTGCTACTTTACCAAGCTGCTGGGAAGGTTTCTTCCGAGTCTTGATCCGCCATCGGGACGATTCCGTCCCGAAGCCTTGCATCTTCGATCTGGGATACCACCCTACCTCTTCTTTTCTTTCTTACTTTCCAGCTTTTGTTGCTATGGCATAGATAGCTGACTGCCCTGATCCCGGTCAAATCGGATTTAGCGACTATTAACTTGGGTGGCCCCCTTTAGGGGGGCCACAAGCCAGGGACGGCCCCCAAGATAATCGCTCCGGATGACTCGCATGACATTTTTGACAGGTTGGCGGCCAGTCGATCGTTGAGGCTGGCGCTGTCTCACAGCATTGAGTTCAGACTAGGCGGCGAACCCTGGCATCCGCAGCCTTATTAGTTGCGCTGTTTGGACAAACTACTGGTGAGTGTGTGCAGGGGGTCTCAGCAGATAACAAATAGGATTAGAGCGAGTAAGAGACGCGGAAGGTAAGAGGCGAATGTTGAGTATGTCCATGACATGGAGTTACTGACTTATGTGCTGTTGGTGAATACAGCGAGACGACTGATGATGCTGCGAGAGATGCCATTAGACAGCATCAAGTTACTGAAGTGTGCTTATTCTGAAAGGGCTGCAAAGAGAGGATGTGTGTTATGGTGCTGACTTGGGACTCTTCCATTCAGTTGGAAGGCTTCACGTGGAAATGGCGATTTCACTTTAAGAAAAAAACATGAGATATCGTGATCCCGTATCCAATCCAGCTGTCAATTATTACTAACTAAGCCTCGCAGAACAAGCAACCCGTCTAAATTTCGACTTTCCTCGCGAGATTCCTGACTTACAAGCCGACATCACCATTATGGCCCTAACTCTCTCTCACGCCGTTCAATAGCAAAGCAGAAAGCCCATTTCTATTTTCTATCCTTCGCTTCATCTGCTTCCCCAACAGCCCCTGTTGGTCCCCCGCTCGCAAAACGGGCAGCAGATGTGATCGCAAGTGGTGAGTTCCTGATAAATCATCATGCCGCTGCACCGGCCCGTTGTGTTGTGTGTCTTGCCGCACCAGCAGCAGTTCCAGACGCCATCGAGGCGGTTGAAGTGGCACTCTGGGCGATGGCAGAGGGGCGCGGGCCCAAACTCTGGCGGCGTGGGATAGGAGACGACCCGGTGGGTTTGGGATTTGCATGGAATGCGGCCGTTGGCTTGGGACTCGGCGCAGTAGTCCCATTTCTGAGAGGAGTGGCAGCATATGAGGTCGTATGTCAGGAGTTGACACATTTTTGAGAGATGTTGGTTGTGAAGAGGGGTTTTGCTTCAGTTTCGTTGAGGGGCGAGGATGAAAGATGTCTCTGCGAAAAAATTAATGAAAAAAGGCTTGGAGAAATCGAGTTATGGATCTGATGACAGGAGACGATTGAAGAAGAAATCGAGGGAAACAGCGGGCTTCTTATCCGTCAACGAAACAGAGCTAACATGCCTTATTGTAATAGGAATCCATCTTTTGTATCAGCCCGAATCGCATCTGCCGTAATTTATAGAAAACTGATAGACGATCCATTCGATTTGCCCATTTTGCCCGGCTTAGTTCGAATCACATTCACGAAACATCACCGACGCCGCCTCGCCTAAGCGGGATGAAGTCATTCTTCTCCCATGACACAAGCCTCGCGTCCCGGGGCTGCGGGCCGGCGTCCGATCTGTCAATGTTCCAGGTGAACGAACTGTGACTGTGATTTTGTCTTGTTTTCTATTTTATTTACTTTGGCCATATTGATTTCTTTTTCTTTTCTGTGGATACTTTATATACACCCTGGTACATAATATTGAAAGGTCATTTTGCTTCGTGTGTCTATTTACGTCTGACAATCTGTATATAGTATGGCGTTTCAGCTACAAAGAAGCTCTTTTGACCGAAAAGAGGCTCTGCATGCCAAGGGAAGACGCTAATCTAAGAGGGCTCAATATCTATTTTTGGGGCCACAAGTGTTTCGATCTAACGTATTCTTGAAAATAAATAGGATACTATAGTTGGTGAAATGGGAGACCCAGAGACGAGGCTCGCTTAGAAGCGGAACATGGAGGTGCAGCTGAGAAATTAGAGAAGCCAACCTGCGCGTTACCTGCGAAGAATATACGCATGTGCCATGACACACCTGTGCATATGCCATTATTACAATCGAATCTCATCGATGAATATCAGGAACAACCCAGCAAAAGGCAAATAGTATACACATACACACGGGCATGGGAATATGACAATGTGGCGGCCAATGGGCCACCGGTAAATTCACCGAGAAAGATGCCAGGTACTACGTATTATCCATATCATTCTAAAGAGGCATGTGAACGATGAAACAGTTCTGCCGGCGATGAGTAGAAAACGAGGGCGTCTACAGATCGAAGAGCAGTGGTTGGATGATGATGTTTGCCGTTTTGCTCCACTTCTCTTTGTTGGGGGGCAGTAAATAGTCCTTGCATTGTGCCATCTATTTTGCTTTTTTATTATTATTACATGGAATTAGCGGAGAATTTTCATCACTGGAGCTAGTCGTA